GTCTTTTTGGCTTCCCTGAGGATGACACCACCTCTTTTATGCCATGGCACCTTGCAAAAATTGCTGAATGTTACTGGTGATTTGTTTGCAGCTACAATTACACGTAGTCTGGCAGAGAAACATTCCTGTGGTTGATAAAGTTGCAAAGACGGGATTATCAGATTACATCAGAGGGTATTTTGTGTTCTCATGATGCACACCATCATGATGCTGTTAATGATGAGCTCCTTTCCCTGCTATAGCATCAAACCTTTGTCTTGTGGAGACATCTGTTATGGCAAACAGTCCTATTATGCAATTTGTCTGAAACATTTTATAGAGTTTGCTTTTTCAAACAATGACACTTCTCTATGAACTTGTTCAGGAATGATTAGAGAGGGCAGTTTGCGTGACCGTATGGCCAAAGGATTCTCTACCAGAATCACTCTGCCTGTTGTTTCTGGGAGATATTCTCTACTGCTCCTTGTAAGAGCTTCTGTCACTGACCTTGTGCTCCTGATGGAAGGATGGAGTTCAAAGGAACTGGTTTTCTATCTTTTTTGGTGTAGTGTAATGCATGAAAAACATTTTGCTGAATATAATACGCGGTATTAAAGTTTTGGTTCAAACCAAGTGTTTGATAATTGGTTTTACTGTAAAGGAAAGAAGGTTCTTTAAAGTGGTGTCTATGAAGGTGGTAATGAGTTAGTGGTAGGTAACCAGTGAAAATGTTTTGATATATTAGTCCCACAGTACAATAAATCATAGAATCATAGAATGGTTAGGGCTGGAAGGGACCTTCAAAGGTCATCTAGTCCAACCCCCCTGCAAGGAACAGGGATATCTCCAACTAGTTCAGGTTGCTCAGGGCCTCATCCAACCTGGCCTTGAACGTCTCCAGGGATGGAGCATCCACCACCTCTCTGGGCAACCTGTTCCAGTGTTCTACAACTCTCATGGTAAAAAATTCTTTCCTAATATCCAATCTGAATCTACCTCCCTCTATTTTAAAACCATTACCCCTTGTAAATATGCATGAAGTTCTTGACGCTGCAATATGTAGGATGTCCGATATTTATAAATTTTTCAGTGGCAGAATTTTTCTCTACTGATTGTTTATTTAGCGCACGCTGTCAGCATCTGATGTAGAATACAAAAAAAAAATAATATTTAGACCTCAGAAGATTGTTATTGAACAATAATTTTGGGGGTTTTTGGAAACGCTCTGCTGTGGCCCCCATAATCAGGATCCTCAGCTCCACAACCTGCTTCTTCTTTAAAGAAATGCACCAGATGCTGTTACAATTGAACAGTTAGAGTAAAAAAAAACATGTCGCGTGAAATATGATGCTAAGGAAAAAAAACCTTTCTCAGAATACATCTCATAGCACTTGGAAATACGCTGACCACAGTGGTGTTGGCTGGACTCAGTGGCTGATGCCTGAATTTTGTCGTTCCAGGATTACACAGAAGACTATATTCAAACTGGCCCTGGGCAACTGTACGCCCATTCCACTCGTCTCTTCGCCGTAGATGGGGTCAGCGTGCCCTATACATGGAACCACACTATCACCTATGACTCCACTAAAGGAAAGATGCCTTTCCTGGTGGAAACACTTCATGCTTCCTCTGTTGCAACAGAGTACAGCCCACTGGAAGAAGCTGTGGCTTTTAAAATCCACGCTTCCATTGCAAAAGGTATCGTTCTAGTCTTTCACCAAAATAAAGCGATGGAAAAATGGTACCTTGTCTTTCTAGAGTTTATTCCCTATATTCTTAAAAGCTGGTTATAGCCTTGAAAGAGGAAATGCTGTGGAACTTTAGTAGCTTTACTGTAGATCCTGGGACTTACTATCTTGTTAATATACCCATAGACTAATGTGTAAAAGCTGTTGTAGTTTACACTTACTCTTCACCTGCAGTTCTCGTCGATGACGTCCGTTTGCATTTGCTGACGCCACTAATAGCATCACCGGTAGCTTCAGATAGTCAACCAAAAATACTTCTCAATTTCCTTGCCTGTATCTTTCATTCTCTAAAATGAAATTACTGTGGGTTTTGGGGGGGGTCAAGTGTTGGTGTTTTTGTTGTTTTGGGCTTGGGTTTGCATAGCTATTAAGAAAAAGCGTTGTTTGTTTTCTTCTCACAGCAAAACCCACCCAAATGTGAGTAACTCAGCTTTGAAAGTAAATGAAACAGTGGGGTTGCCTGTCTCAGTCTTTCTTTGCAACAGCAACGTTCTAAATGAAGTAAAATAATGATTTCCCCACTTCCCAGAGTATGAACTCATTGTGCAATTTGAAAAGCAAATAAGATTTATTTTTTTTTCCCCCCATTTTAAGCTGAGGTCTGATAAAAGGAGGTGTCTAGATCAAGTTATCATGTCAATTTATGCATAAATCTGGCCAAGCTTTTACTGAACTTGGATCTATTTCCTCCAACTATTAATATACTACTTTTTTAAAAAATTATATTTACTGAATCAAATTTCAAGCAGCAAAACACATGTGGTCTTTGAGTAGTCTCTACTAGAGTTTTTTATTACGATTCATAGTATGCAGTTGTGTTCTTCTGCAGTGACTTCCCACAATCTCTGGGACATTTGTTTAGTGAAGTGAGACTGAATAGTCTTTATTCTTTTGATAATGAAAACTTGCTGGTGGAACTTTGCCAAATGTATTAGGCTGGGATGCACCTTGCATCTGAGGGAAGCCCCCCACTAAACCCCCAGGCTAAAGTCTGGATTTTAAAAGTTTCTATTTTAGTGTCCAAGTATAATAAATCTTTTATAAATAGCTGGGCTAAAATTCTTAATGTTGAAAGGTTTTTAAAAAAGTAATAAAATGACCATGTTTTCATCCACAAGTAACATGTGCTTCCTTGGCCATACAGGAGATCGTAGCAATCAGTGCCCTGCTGGGTTTGGCTTGGACGCAACTGGGCCGTACTGCTCAGGTAATGATGTGTCAAGGGTGGTGTGTGATCATAGAACCATAGAGGGGTTTGGGTTGGAAGGGACCTTCAAGATCATCTAGTTCCATCCCCCTGCCATGGGCAGGGACACCCTCCACTACACCAGGTTGCCCAAAGCCTCATCCAACCTGGCCTTGAACACTTCCAGGGATGGGGCAACCACAGCTTCTCTGGAAAACCTGTGCCAGTGCCTCACCACCTTTGTCATAAGAAAAATATTCTTTATTTTCAATCTAAATTTATCTTCTTTTAGTTTAAAACCATTACTCCTTGTCCTGGCCCTTTACCAGGTCCCCTACAGGCCCTGGTAAAAAAAGACTCTATACTTTTCTATAACCCCCCTTTGTATACTGAAATGCTGCAATAAGGTCTCCCTGGAGCCTTCTCTTCTTCAGGCTGAGCAACGCCAACTCTCTCACCTCTCTAAAGCAGAGGTGCTTCAGCCCTCTGACCATTTCTGTAGCCTCCTCTGGACCTGTTCTAAGAGGTCCATGTCTGTCTTGTGCTGGGGGCCCCAGAGCTGGATGCAGCATTCAACCACTGGGATCTACATCACCTTTATGTAGAGTTTCAAATCATACAGTGCGTATTTCAAAAAGTAGAAGTTACTATTGATAAAAAAGTGTGGTTCAAAAGCAGATGAAGAAGAGGACAGTGAGCCCCAGTACCTGCTCAGCCTGCAAAGCGGTGAAGCGCTTACGTGATCTGTGGTGGAGGGAAGGACGAGTGTTGGCAACCGAGACAACAGCTCACTAGAAAACAGACTGTTCCTGCTTGGGGGATGGAGGCAAAGAGGAGGTTGATGAGCATTTTAGCTGTCTTCTCTAGATGATTGAGTCACGTTTGTTCTAGGGAACAATCGTTTTATATACTTCTGTGGATTTATTTCATTGCCTCTTGAAAGTTTGTAAAGTAAGGAAATTAAAACAAGATACACCACACCATCCAAAAAGTTTAAAGCTAGGAAAACTGAAAACAAAGTCGCTTTAAAACAATTTTCCACTGGCGGTATCGTCTGTAAACCAATATGAATTCTGAAGTTTTAAATGGAAAACGTAGCAATATAGTATATTTTTAGTAATATTTTAGTATATTTTCGTGTAAAGTCTTGCGAAGTCTCACTGGCTTTCCCAACGATTCCGTGTTGCAGATGAAGATGAATGTGCCGTGCGAAATCCTTGTTCCCATACGTGTCACAACACCGTGGGATCTTACTACTGCTCCTGTCCAAAAGGCCTCACTATCTCTGCGGATGGTAGGACGTGCCAGGGTAAGATGAGTGTTGCTGTGGACAGATTGGATACAAGAAGCCCCATGACACACCCCCGTAATCACTAGGGAAACGTTCTGTTTGGGCTGGGCCGTTTTGTCATGATAAGAATACAATTTATTGGTGGTATTCCAATTATTTCATATCTGAATATATTTGCAATCAAGTATTTCATAGTTGATCATGCTCAAGATGCTACTTAACCTGTGTGTTTAATTCTAGATATCGATGAGTGTGCATTAGGTGGACACACCTGCCATGCTGGCCAAGACTGTGAAAATGTCGTTGGCTCATACCGCTGCGTGGTTAGATGTGGCAATGGCTTTAGGAGGACAGCTGATGGATTTAGCTGCCAAGGTATGGAGAGGGCTTTGGGTTTTGGTGTTAGCTTCCATGCACTGAAAATTCTTTCACACAACTGAAAGTAACTTTTTAAAAGAAGATGTGTCTTCAACGAAGGTGTCTATAAATCTTCGTTATTGAGGTTGTGGGGTGTGTTTTTTTGTTGGGTAGTGGGGTTTTTTGTTGTTTTTTTTAAAAAAAAAAAAACACTTTTGCTTTTTCCATCTTTAGAAAGAAATTTAAAATCCCGTTGGGAAATAACCTACCATTCTTGCTTTTGTGTCTCATGTGCATCTTCTTTTACAACCAAGTGAGAGCAGTAAACGCTTCTGAACGTCCCTCAGTAGTGTAGTAGCTAGAGCTCAACGCAGAGTCCGGAACGTTGACTCAACCCAAACACTGTTCAGGTAAATGACCACAAGACAATTCACAGCTGTGGTATCAAGGATTTGTGTTGTCCAACAGATGTTAACGAGTGTCAAGAGTCCAACGCCTGTCATCAGCGTTGCTTCAACACTGTAGGAAGTTTCTACTGCGGTTGTGATCCGGGATACCAGCTAAAGGGCAGAAAATGCACAGGTATGGAAGAATCTTTTCCTGTTCATTCCCTCCTTCCAATGGGCATAGTTCAACATTTATTCCTTGCTGTATTTCTTATCAGAAGCCTTTATGAATGAAAATCCTACTGTGGATGCTATAGGTAGTGTGTGTTTCTGAATTTGCTTGTAAAGCAGAACTAAAAGCAGAGGAAGTGGGAACTGGGCTGACTGATAAATGTGCATGAAATGCATTCAAATGCTGGTTATAAATCAATATAAATAAATATAAATTACAGCTGGATTATTCTGCCCTTTAGGAACTGAGCGTAAGGAAGTGAGTTCATTTATGTTCTTGGTTTTGGTTTTTTTTTCCTTTTTTTTTTTTAAATAAGATGTAAATGAGTGCAGGCAGAACGTGTGCAGGCCTGATCAACTTTGCAAAAACACCCGTGGTGGCTATAAGTGCATTGATCTGTGTCCCAGTGGAATGACCAAAGCAGAAAATGGAACTTGTGTTGGTGAGTAGAAGTGTTAACTGCACTGTACGGTGATGGTAAACACAGGGACAACGATGAATTTGAAAAAGAAAAAAAAAAAAAGTATCTTGGATATGGTTCATCTCAAATTATTAAAATTTGCACATGATAAAGCACCAACTTTTTTTCATTCATGGAAACATATATATTTAATTTTTTTGTAATTGGTGTTAAAAGAATAGATGTATCCTTGCTACTTCTAGTCTTCCATTGCTCTTAAGAAAGAACAGTGGGGTCTTCCTCAGGAGCTTTTCTGCTTGTCACCTGGAATTCTGATCATCCATTGACCAAAATGTTTTGTTCCAAGTGTGAATGCTTGTCTCAGAGCTCTGAATCAAGGTCACAGGTCCATGCTGCTAATCAGGGATGCTTTTAAACATAACTGATGTTAACACGTATTACCAAATGTTTTTCTCTAGTGGGATATGACAGGACGATGGATTCTGTCTCTACAGAGTAGCTGATCACATTGGAATCCTCGATGAAAAGTTTTGAAAATTAACAGAAAAAAAGCGTGGGCAAAAAAAATTTGTGTATCTGCTCAAAATCTGCTTTCAGATTGTGAAACACAGGTTGTGATTCATAGCACAGACTGGTACAGAGCGATGCCTAATCGTGGCACCAAGTAAGAAAAACGCATGTTTAGAGGCCAAATCTGTCTCGAGGGCCAAATTCTCTTGTGGCTCAACTGCATTCCTTCTCCATTAAGAGGTTTAAAGGTGTAAGAAGTTTCAAGAAAAATCTGACTCCTTCCCCTTGCCTGGTCACTCGCAGACATTGATGAATGCCGGGACGGAACCCACCAGTGCCGCTATAACCAGATTTGTGAGAACGCACAAGGGAGTTACCGTTGTGTGTGTCCACGAGGGTATCGGTCCCAGGGAGTTGGAAGACCTTGTGTGGGTAAGCTCTCCAGGCACATTCGTGTCACATGTTTTTTTCTGCTCCTGCTTTTGGCTGGGCGTTCTGCTTCAACGTATCCAACAATGCTGTCCCATTCGAAGACTATGCTATATAGATAAATTTGCCTTTGAGTTCAAAATTACCCATCTGAAAAAAATTGAAAATGAATAGTCAAAACTAAATGATTCCAAACAGAGGTTGTTATAGGTCCATACTTTGAAAACAAAGCCTACAAAGGTCTCGGAGCACTGGTGGATGGATGTGGCAACCTACCACTCCGTAAGAGGCTTCGTTTATAAAAATCAGGTCAGATTTCTAAGTTGCTTGGACAGTGAAATGTGTCTGGCTGTACTCTGGGCGGCGTTGATTCAAGGCAGTCAAGCAGGGAGTGATGTGGATTCCCCTACAGGAGGACACCCAAAGGAAGTGTGTTGCAAGAGGCACGATACGCCCAGAGCTCACCTCTGCGAGTGAACGGCGCAAACACGCTTACTCACCCGCTGCGCGCAGGTGGAGCGGAGGAAGCTGATAGCCTTTATCGCTCAACGCTCCCCTTTCTGGTTTGGGTGGATCACAGCAGGGAAGGAGGGTTCTTCTCAGTCCCAGGAATGCTGACCGTGTAGTTACTCCCCTGTGCTATCTACGTAGGGCCTTTTGGCAGCTTTCTCCCACGCACACATTGCGTAGCGTTCAAAGGATGCTCTCGTAGCTCAACATGGACAGCAAGAGTTCAACATATGGTGCTAGTCCAAGTGCACAAAACATTTCCCTTAGCGTTTCATAGACCTCAGGATGGCACTAAGATAATTTAGATTCACCTTTTCTGTATTTACGTAAAGTATTTAAAAGATAATAGCTGATCCACCCTGATAATAATGATTTATGGGTGTTGGTATATGACACTTGGTGAAGTTGGTTTCAGTTGCTCTCATGTATCGTATCAGAGAAGAATTCCCCCATGATAAATTCTTCAAGATGAGCTTTCATAAGTGATAAATAGCTCCTCTGGAGAACAGGATGTGTTTTTGCTTTTTCAACAACCTAAGATTTAAGCCAGGAATGTTTTGTGGGTTGGTTGTTGGTTGGTTTTTTTTTTTTTTTAAGAGATTAAATTGCAGTAAGAACCTGTTTGGCTGTAGACCAAGACATTGCTTCCATCAGGTGCTTCTCTGCTGAAATAAAATCAATCCTGAACTCCTTAACATATATTAAAACCATTTAAATTTCTGATAGTAATAAGCTGGCTAAAGTCTAGGACTACAGATTTTCACAAAACACTGGCAGCTGCCCTAAAGCTGTCTTCTGCCAGCTTCTTCCCCAGACTGAAACAGAAGAATTGAACTCTGTTCCTACCTGTGCCCCTCTTACCCTGTGTCAAGTCCTTTGTGCCACAATTCCCTGTCTGTTAGACGAGGATAAGGTGCTCG